TTTTAAAAATCACTGCTTCAGTCTACTCTAAAAGGAATGGTGTTTCTTTTCTTGTCCAAATTTACCCAACATCTTCAATTTACAGTTAGACCTTAAGGTTTAAAATAAAAGGTTGTGGTTCCCTTTCTCCCCATGCCCTTCCCATGCCACTCTCTTGCATTCAGTTTCTTTTTCATTCATTCACTTTCCCAGAACCAGGCTCCACCTTCTCCACAAAGGAGAAGAGGCAGCCCTGTCTGGTCTGGTGGCTTCTCTTCTCCCATGTTGCAATGCGTGTGGGAGTTCATTCAAGTTATCCTGGTTCCAATTTATAGCATACTTTAAAAAAATTTTTTTTTTAAACAAGCAAACCACCCCTTTCCTCCCCCCCCACAAAAAAAAAAGAAATAACTATGAAAAGGAGGCCCACCTCTTATGTAAAAATCTTGCCAATGTTACCACAATAACACTGATTAAATGGCAACCCTGATTTCTGTGTGTGTGACTGAACACTAGCCTGGCCCGGCCTGCTTGGAGGACCCTGTGGCCACCCAGGGAGGGCCTGCCAGCCAGAGGACACTGCACTTGTGAGGAATTTCGCTTCAGAGAGGCTCCTGAGGTCAAAGGTTTACGCTCCTCCCTGCAGCCATTTTAGAAGATGTGCTGGCCATTCTAGACAACGCAAAAGCCAGAATGTCCATTTGAAATTCCACGCTCACCCGTCAGCAAGCTCCATCCGAACGTGCCACGGAGCCCGACCTCCACCTCCTCAGTGCAGCAGCCCCACCTCAGCCCTCCTCCAGCACAGTTTGGCCCTTTGCAGGGTTGGAATTGGCAGGACTCGGCTAAAGCCAGAACCAGTCTGGGGTCACCGATGCCCTGCTGGCCTCTTCCTTTGAAGCAGCCGGCCGGGCCCACCCAGGAACAAGACGGCCTTCCCTTCCTCTGGACTCACAGCCTGTGCAGAGTCAAGCTCCGCTTGAAGCTCACTGAGTAATATCCTCTACATGTGTTTTATATTGTTTTGATTGCCTTTTTTTGTAGAAATAAAAATTGACCTTAGAATTAAAAAAAAAGAAAAGAAACTCATACAACTTAACAAAAGGAAGACAATCCAATTTAAAAAAAAAAAAAAAAAAGGTAAAGGACCTAAATAGACACTTCTCCAAAGAGGACATACAGATAGATGGCCAAGAAACGTATAAAAAAAAAAAAAATGCTCAAAGTCACTGATCATCAGAGAGATGCAAATTAAAATGACAATGAGATATCTCCTCACACCAGTCAGAATAGCTATCATCAACAAATCAACGAATGACAAGTGCTGGCCAGGATGTGGAGAAAAGGGAACCGTAGTATACTGCTGGTGGGAATGAAGACTGGTGTAGCCACTGTTGAAATGATTTTTGGAGTTTCCTCAAAAAAATGAAATATGGAACTGCCATTTGACCCAATGATCCCACTTCTAGGAATATATCCCAAGAAACCCAAAACACCAATCAGAAAGAATGTATGTACCCTCATAACAGCACAGTGTACAATTGCTAAGATCTGAAAACAGCTCAAGTGCTCATCGGTAGATAAGTGGATAAAAAGCTGTGGTGCCAAAACCGGTTTGGCTCAGTGGTAGAGCGTCAGTCTGTGGACTGAAAGATCCCGGGTTCGATTCCGGTCAAGGGTATATACCTTGGTTGCGGGCACATCCCTGGTAGGGGGTGTGCAAGAGGCAGCTGGTCGATGTTTCTCTCTCATCGACTTTTCTAGCTCTCTATCTCTCTCCCTTCCTCTCTGTAAAAAATCAATTAAAAAAAAAAAGCTGTGGTATTTCATGGTATAATATATTTATACCATGAAATACTATGCAGCAATAAAAAAGAATCTCTTGCCCTTTAAGACAGAATGGAATGGAAGGACCTTAAAAGTATCATGATAAGTGAAATAGGTCAGTCAGAGAAAGACAAGTATCACCTGATCACACTCATATGTGAAATCTAACAAAATAAACTGATGAACAGAGTGGGCCCAGAGACATGGAAGCATGGAACAGAGTGCAGAATCTTGGAGGGAAGGCAGGGGAGGATGGGTCGATGGGAGGTAATCAACCAAAGACCTTGTATGCATATATGCATAGCCCATGGACATAAACAATAGGGTGGTAATGGCCAGGAGAGAGAGGGTGTGGAGGCAGACAGGAGGGAGTCAATGGGGAAGACATGTGTAAAGGAAAAAAAAAAAGAAAAAAAATTTAAATATATTTTATTGATTTTTTACAGAGAGTAAGAGAGAAGAATAGAGAGTTAGAAACATTAATGAGAGAGAAACATTGATCAGCTGTCTCTTACACACCCTCTACTGGGGATGTGCCCGCAACCAAGGTACATGCCCTTGACCGGAATTGAACCTGGGACCTTTCAGTCCACAGGCCAAAGCTCTATCCACCGAGCCAAAATGGTTTCGGCAACAACAAAAATTTCTTAAATGGGTGTTGGATTTTGTCTAATGCTCTGTGTTTATTGATATGATCATGTGACTTTTGTCTTTTAATTTATTTATGTGATGTATCACATTTATTGACTTATGAATATTGTACCAGCCTTGCATTCCCAAAATAAATCCCACTTGGACATATTGCTGGATTCAATTTGCTAATATTTTTGTTGAGGATCTTAGCATTTGTGTTTATCAGGGACATTTGGCCTGAAGTTCTCTTTCTTTGTGGTGTCTTTATCTGGTTTTGGAATTAGGATCACACTAGCCTCATAAAAAGAACTTGGAAGTGTTCCTTCCTTTTTGATTTTTGGGGGAAGTTGAAGGGGAGGAAAGGCAGTTGTTTGTTTGTTTGTTTGTTTGTCTCCCTTAACAAAGAAGCCAGCCATCTCAAGGTGCTTCTCATTTAAGTAAAAAGGGAACTTGAGAATTTGATACCTATATTCAGGAGGGTATATAACACCTTGAACCCCCACCCAATTTGCTCCTCAGATTAGCTGATACCTATCTACACTACAAATGAAATAGATTCACTTGCCTTTCTTCTTTAATAAATTGCTTGCTTTAATAAGTTGGCATTATCACAGCACAATCAGAGTCTATCATTTAAATTCATTTGTTCAAGAACCAGGAGGGGATATGCCTCTCCCTCTGACTCGGTTGGCTGTCCAATGACACCTTTTCTAGGGTCTCTGGGCTGCCTGTACCAAAGCCATCCTATTGCTTACTTTAGGTCTTTGAGTTTGTAAGGCTGCCATGCAGGCCTCCCCGAGCTTGTCAAGTTTAGTGTGTGGCCACACTATCTTGCACGCAAGTTACTGCTGTTGTTCCAGAACTTAAGGAGGAGGTTGGGGAGAAGAGAGTACAAGGAAATGATTAGTCACTCTTAAATGTCCCAATCTGGGCCCCAGTTACTGAGCCACTGCTGGGAACTCAGCAACCTTCCCCTTCAGGCCCCCCCCCCCTTCACTTTCTGCCTGCTCCTTCACACACACACACACACACACACACACACACACACACACACCCTCTGCTGTAGCCTTCCGCCAGCCGTTTCTACCAAGGAAAAGGAATCATGTCATATGTCCGCTAATCCAGAACCTCCACTCTTTCAACCCCTTTGCTGATGCAAGTAAGGGCAATACACCCAAGTTACTGCTTTTGTTCCAGAACTTCCAGCTAGCCCTGAGGATTATATTCATACAAGAATTCAACAGAGAAATCACAGGAAGACCCTTACTATTGTCCAAGGGCTCAGTGATGACTACAATCAAAAGAAACTAGTTGAGGCATTTAAGAAGAAAATTGCCTTCAATGGTACTGTAATTGGGCATAAAAATAGATAGATAGATAGATAGATAGATAGATAGATAGATAGATGATTGATAGATAGATAGATAGATAGATAGATAGATAGATAGATATCCCAGTCTGGAAATGACATGGTTCATCCAGTCTCTGCCAATCCATTCATCAGGCAGATCCTTTCATTGTTCTAGCCCACCATTCAAAATGAATCACATAAACAACCTGAATTTACTTCAATTCCCCTGGATACTAAAGGCAGGATTTCAATGCAAACAGTATCATCCTCAGACAACACCAGGAAAGAAGTGGGGAAGTAACGCAGGGAAGACAAGGACACCATAAGAAAGAATTGGCATTGTTAAGCAGGTGGCTCCTAAAGGCCTCTGGGGCAATCATGTGGAATAGGCCTCAGAATTTTCTAGGCCAAGAGCAGAGAGTGTTGGGTTCTTGTCCCCTAACTCACATCTGTCATTGAGATGTATCCCATTCAGCACAACAATAATAACACAATATGGTGAGCAGAATAATGTCCCTTTAAAGAGGCCCATGTCCTAATCCCCAGAACCTGTGGATGTATTAGCTACGAGGAAAAATGAGAGTGAAGGTTCCATATAGAAATAGGGTTCCTGATCCACTGACCTTAAAATAGTAAGGTCATATGAAATTATCCAGGGGCCCCAAATATAATAGCAAGTGTCCCTTAAATGTGGAAGAGGAGGCAAAGGGTCAGTATTTGAGCAGTGCAAAGAAAAAAAGATCCCTGTCGCTGTTGGCTTCGAAGGTGGAGGAAGGGGCCACCAGCCGAGTAGTGCAGGCCACCTCCAGGAGCTGAAAAAGCAAGAAAACGGAACCTCTGGAAAGAAACACAGCCTTGTCAACACCTTGATTTCAGCATTATGAGGCTCGTTTTTGGGACTGACTTCTGGAACTGTAAGATAATAAATTTGAATTGTCTTATGTCAATAAGTTTGTTGTGATTTGTTACAGTATCAATTGAAAGTGAATGCACATACCTGAAATAATGTTTTCTCAAAATGCATATGAAGAAAATCATAAAATTTTGCTGAAGAATATTTTAAAGGTACCTGAATAAATAACTGGTTCATGAATGAATAATAGACAGACAGACAATATACATACACATGTATATTCCCAACCAAAATTACAAACTGACTCAGAATTGTATCGAGGCAATAAAATGCACAGTAATAGAAAGAAACATCGAGAGAAGACAATGTCGTGGTGTAAATCAACCATCTTATAGAACTGTAGTAACTAAAGCATTGGCAAAGAACACAGTAAGTTCAATGGCAGGCTTAATGCAGTGTGTGACTTTATTAAGAGGATATCATGGGGGCTGAGTTGGGGCATTAAGCCTTTGGAGGGAGAAAGGATTCTCAGAATCTCAAGATCTCAAAGACTTTAGTTCAGGAGGAATAAAATCAGAAGTGGGTGGGACCACAGACGAACTAGCAGAGGGCATGACCAAACTGCCCAGTCCTGAAGAATGCATGGGGGGCAGGGGTGAGAGGGGGGGACAGTGGCCCTCAGAGGCCTGGGCACAGAGCTGAGGGCTTCTCGCAGATCCAGAATTGTTCTTCATTACATAAGCTGTCATTCCAGCCATCACCGGACAGTTCCACACAGTCTTCATCTCCAACATTGTTAGGTTCCCCTTCTTTCCAGAAGCTGTGAACACCATCAAAGCTATGAGTTCCCTCCCTGACCCAGAGCCACCCTTGGACCAGTTGGTCTATGGCTTTTGGTAGCAAATTCCTAAGGACCAGCTAGAAAGGATGGTGAATTCAGAGACAGAAATGTGGGTTCAAATATCACCTCCCTCAATCAGTGCTAGCAAAATAAAAATACGAATCCCTGTGCCCATACAAAGACTTAGAGGACCAAACCCCCTATGCCACCACTCAGGATTCTGCATCTCAGCCTGTTTTCTCGGGTGATACTTTCCAACCCCAGAGTCTGGGCAACCCTGGCTTTAGGTACAGGTCTCTTCCCTACCCTCCCCCTCCCAGGCCATTGTCGCTGGCAAGTCACCTGATATGTAAGGAGGTGTTGTCCACCCATTTCCAGGACCCTTCACTGTGCTCATCACTGAGACCAATCCAGGCGTCCTTGTTCTTTCTGATATCCCAAGATTTCAGGAATTTCTGGGGGTGGGGGAGGGATGAAATATCAAGAGGAAGATTGGTGAAGGCCACCCGTCCCACATCTGCCCACATTCTCATGGTCCCCTGCCTCCCACCGAAGTCTTTCTGGGTCCTGGACTGCATCCCCTACTTAAGTTGTATGTGTTCACATGTGCATTAATGCTGTGAATGTGTGGGAATGTATTAACTATGTCTCAGTTCACTTATATGTCAAGAGAGAAATTACTCTGAGTTTCCTTTCTTTACATACATGGGTTCCTTTTACATGACCTTCCCAGGTCCATCATGGTTTCTCCTCCAGGAAGCCTTCTCTGACTGCATCGCCCCCAAACCTCCATCTCTTAGAGAGCAGAGGAGGATGGCAGAAGGCTTTTTGTTGACTGGGCGCCTGGCCCAGCTCCAGACAGGAACCATGCCTGGCCTACCTGCTCCTCAGCATTGCTAATGACCACCAGCTGGGCCTTCATGTCCTTGCAGGCAGAGACAGAAGCTTTCCAGGGGCTCTGAACCTTGGAGAAGAAATAGCAGCTTCCCTGGAAGAAGTCCCAGTTCCAGGGGCAGTGACGGCACAGGCCAGCTGGGGAGCAGGGATGAGATTGGAATAGCTGGGGAGACAGGCTGCTAGGTTCCCAGGCCCCCAACACTGGCATCAGATATGGGAAACCCAGGGCCAGGCCCCTCTGTTCAGCTATCAGCGCAGTCTCCAAGAAACCCACGAGAAAGATCCCATTCTGCCATGCCATTTTCAGAATGGCAGCCATGGGAGGTGAGCCTCAGCCCCACCAATGACTCCACAACTCCCTCCTGACCTTTATGCTTGAACCTTACTCAGGGTGGCATTCATCCTGGTCAGCTGATGGACGATCTCCTCCAGGTCTGATTGCAAAACAGCCACTGGAAGAAGATGACTTCAATTATTAAGCACCTACTGTGTGTTTGGTGCAGAGGGCCCATGATTTCTGCGTCTCATGGTAACCGCAACAGCCCATTAGGCAAACAAGAGTGTGAGCCTTCGGCAGTGACTTGCTTGGCATCCTGGCCCCTAGGGCCTCACACAGGGGTCTGGTCTCCCCCCCCCCCACTCCTGCCTGCCCTCCACCCCACAGCAGTGACTCGTCCAACATCACGCAGCTCAGAGCCCTTCCCATTCCAGAACCCAGCCTTCAGCCCTCACCCGGGCTGTGGCTCTCCTGGTCATCCATCTTTCTTGGCAGAGATTGTTGGATCCTGGAGACTGCAACAGGACAGAGAATTTCCCTTAACTGAGTGCCGACAGTACCTCTGATCCTGTGCTACCTTTGGTTTCAAGATCTGAGAACCTAACCCTTGAGAGAAGTAGTAACCAGCCCACCATCACACCGGAGATGACAGAGTCCAAATATCCCAGCCCTAGTGGTTTTGAGGGCTGTGGAAAAGGGCAAAGACCAACCCAGAGGGAAAACCCCAAGAGGCTCAGCACTCACAGCCCCTAGCCCGGAACTCACCTTGAATCAGGGTGACCAGCATGAGCATGAAGAGACCCAAAGAGAAGAGGACCAGTATCAGATGCAGAGGGGCCCGGGTTAGACACTCTGTTACAGAATGGGCAGAGCTGGGAGTTAGGGACAGAGCCTGCCTCAACCCACCCATGCTAGAGGTGGCCTCCCAGCTGCCCTTTTCCCCGGGTACTTCCTCCTTTCCTGAACCACGCATCCCAGTACCTGGCAAACTTCTTGAGCTCCTCGACAGCCAAGGGTCTCTCTCAGATGATCTCTGGCCTTGAAATATCTCCCTCTCCTCTGAACAGGACAGAATGTATTCATCTGAGCTTCAAAGCCCTAATGGAGACCAGACCCTCTTCCCTCCTTGCAGGCTGGAGGCCATACCTGGACTCCCCCAGGACCCTGGAGCCCTGCCCTCCCCACCATTACCCCATAATGGGGGCTCACCTGGTTCCTTGGGAATAAACATCTCTGCCATCTTCTTCGCTTCTCTGTTCTGTCCAGCTCCTCCCTGGACTTCGGTTTTTATAACCTCATGTATTGTCCTAGGCACCCCTCCAGGGGACATTCCTCCCAAACTCAGGAAGAAGAATGAGGAACTATGTGGGGAAACCCACTTCCTCCCAGAAAATTTGGATGAAATGCCTGACACAGCTATGAGATAAATCATTTAGGGTGTGGCAGAAGTTTGAGGTCATGCTATTTGAGGAGGCACTGCTCCAACCCCCACATAATTCTGGAAACTTCGGCCCCACCTTATCAGAGCCTCAGTTTCCTCAGCTGTAAAATGGGGCAATTACCCTGCTTTGTACTGTAATGTGAAGTCTAATACAGTGCACTAGTAATGGTTATGAATTTCCGGTCGCAATGATAAATACTCAGCAGTAATGGCACTTAGCGCACACACACCCCAGAACCCTGTGTTGTGCATTCATTCTACCTTGCTGCAACAAATAAGAAGCCACAGGTGTGCCCCTGGTGGTCTTTGGCTGAGGAGCACTGATAGAAAAGGGTAGTTAGGCCAGGATCGGTTTGGCTCAGTGGATAGAGTGTCAGCCTGCGGACTGAAAGGTCCTGGGTTCAATTCCGGGCAAGAGCATGTACCTTGGTTGCGGACACATCCCCAGTAGAGGGTGTGCAAGAGGCAGTAGAGGGTGTGCAAGAGGCAGCTGATCGATGATTCTCTCTCATCGATGTTTCTAACTCTCTATCTCTCTCTTCCTCTCTGTGAAAAATCAATAAAATACATTTAAAAAAAAAAAGAAAGAAAGAAAAGGGTAGTTATTATCCTGCTTTAAAGCTGAGGACAGAAACAGAGAGAAACTGCCTGGGGTCACACAGCCTGGAAGTGATGGGCTGGGAGTTAGACCTGGCAGGTGGACCTCTGAGTCCCTGCTTAACGACTGCAAGAAGCGGGTACCCTTTCTCCTTTGCAATTACTATTTTGTAGAGATTTACTTTGAAACCATGTGTACCAAGTTTTGAATTTATTTATGTATGGACGCCTGCCTTCCTATCTGGTTCAAGTCAGTTTTATGTTACTATCTTTAATTTTTAAAATATACTTTTATTATTGATTTCAGAGAGGAAGGTAGAGGGAGATAGAAACATCACTGATGAGAGAATCATTGATAGGCTGCCTCCTGCATGCCCCACACTGGGGATCAAGCCCACAACCCGGACATATGACCTGACTGGGAATTGAACCATGACCTCCAGGATCAACCATTGAGTCATGTCAGCAAGGCACTCTTTAATTTTAATCTAAAGTGAATTTCTTTGTCCAATAGTGGGGTAAAGGTGTAATGACTACTCTAAGGAGAAGTTCTCTTCAGACCAAAAAACAAAGCAGGCAACTCCATAGAAATAACAATTTATTATAGGGTTATTTACTTATGGGGAGATTGGGCTAGAGCAGAGCAGACAACTCAGAGGTCTGTGCAAATTATTCTTTACTGCTAGACCCCTGTCACAGTGCTTTTTTATGGTATACTCAGGTACTGATGACTGACAAGACAAAGGGACAAAGAATGCAGTAGTGCCATACCACCTGATGGTCTTGTGATAGGTGATTTCTTAAATCAGCACTATCATCAGTTGATATTTATCTCAGTTGTCATGCCATTGTGGCCATTACTAGCAAAATTTTATGGCTACATTTTAAAGAACACATATAATCATCAACTAGAAGGCTTTGATGTGCTTGCTAAGGGTTGGTCACAGCATGAAACTTAAAAATGAAATGAAATCTGGACACAGAGATGGAATTAATTTTGTTCACATCTAAATCTATATACTCTATAGACAGCATATAATTAGGTCATTTTTATCCATTCTGTCAATCTCTACTTTTAGAGAGTTTAATCCACTTATATTTAATGTTATTACTGATAAGGAAAGGTTTATATCTGCCATTTTGCTATTTGGCTTTTATATCCCCTACTAGCGGCCCGCTCTGCTGCATGAAATTCATGTCTGGGTAGGATCCACCGTGTAAATGTACCACAAGTTATTTTTATCCACTAATCTACTAATGGGCAATAGGGCTGTTTCCAGATCTAATGCTGCTAGGAACATAGGGGTGCATATATTCTTTCTAATTGGTGTTTTGGAATTTTTAGGATATATCCCTACAAGTGGGATTATTAGATCAAAAAGCAGTTCCATATATAATTTTTTTTTTTTGAGGAATCTCCACACTGTTTTCTATAACAGCTGTACCAGTCTGCATTCTCACCAGCAGTGTACTAGGGTTCTCTTTTCCCCATATCCTCAAAGGCATTTTGTTGTTGTTGTTGTTGATTTATTGATAGTAGCCATTCTGGCAGGTGTGAGGTGATATCTTATTGTGGGTTTTGATTTGCATCTCTCTGATGATTACTGATGTTGAGCATTTTTTCATGTCTATTGGTTATCTCTATGTCCTCTTTGGAGAAGCATCTATTCAAGCCCTTTGCCCATTTCTATTTATTTATTTATTTATTTATTTATTTATTTTTACAGAGAGGAAGGGAGAGAGAAAGAATTAGAAACATTGTTGAGAGTCATCAATCAGCTGCCTCTTGCACGCCCCTACTGGGGGTGTGCCCACAACCATGGTACATGCCCTTGAGCGGAATCAAACTCAGGACCCTTCAGTCCGCAGGCTGAAGCTCTATCCACTGAGCCAAACCGGTTTCGGCCCTTTGCCCATTTTTTAAATTGAGTTGTTCGTCTCTCTAGTATTGAGTTGTATGAGTTCTTTGTATATGTTGGGAATTAACCCCTTATCAGATGTATCATTGGCAAATATGTTCCCCCATACAGTGGATTCCCTTTTCATTGAAGATGGTTTATTTTGCTGTGCAGAAGCTTTTTATTTTGATATATTCTCATTCGTTTATTTTTTCCTTTGTTTCTCTTGCTTTAGGAGATGTATTGGTGAAAATTCTGCTACCGTGTTTCCCCGAAAATAAGACATCCTCCAAAAATAAGACCTAGCACATGGAAAAATAAGACATCCCCTGAAAATAAGATCTAGTGCATCTTTGGGAGCAAAAATTAATATAAGACACTGTCTTATTTTTGGGGAAACAGGGTACATGAGATGTCTAAGATTTTACTGCCTGTGTTTTCTTCTAGGTTTCTTATAGTTTTGCAACTTACATTTGTCTTTAATGCATTTTGCATTTATTCTTGTGTATGGTGTAAGTTGGTGGTCTAATTTCATTTTTTATTTTATTTTATTTTATTTTATTTTATTTTATTTTATTTTTGCATGTAGCTGTCCAATTTTTCCAACACCATAAGAAGAAACTGTCTTTACTCCATTGTTTGCTCTTGCTTCCTTTGTCAAATATTGACCATAGTGGCAGAGGTCAATTTCTGGGGTCTTTTTTCTGTGCCAGTAGCAGGCCTTCTTGCATTCATTATCTTAACTGATATAAAGCATGGATTTTCCTCTGGTTTTTTCCTCTGGTTTTTTGTCACCATGGAAGTGAGAGTCTTTGGGTCCTTCTACATTCTAACCAGAAACAGAAATTCCACCAGCATTCCTCGAGCACTTCTTTTGTGCTGAATGCTTTTTGGACATGATTTCAGTTAATCCCCATAACACAGCTATTAGTGTCCTCCTTGTACCTATGAGCAAACCGGCTCAAAGATTACTTCACCTGCCCATGGTCCATCAGTTTATAAACGCTACAACTGGGTTCAAACCATGAAAGCACATTGTTTTTCATTCACCTCTATGCCCCCAACTCAAACCAGCTCAAAATAAAGTGGGAGAGAGGTGGTAGTATTGCCTCTTGTATTTGGGGAGTCCAAGAAAGAGAGGGAAGGGCCCATATTCAGGCTTAAAATTTATCTGTTTACTATTTGTCTCCCCCACAATGCAACCAAGGGTTGACAAAAATTTCCTGAAAAGAACCAGATAACAAATATTTTTTGACCTTGTGGGCCATACAGTTTCTGCCACATCTACTCAGCTTTGCCATTAAAACATGAAAACATCACGAATATATCAGTGAATGAACAGGGGTATGTTTTATTAAATTACAGTTGGCTCTTGGATATTATGGGCTTGACTGCATGGGCCCACTTATACATGGATTTTTTTTTTCCAATAAATACCTGTAGTGTTTTTTTATCCACAGTTGGGAGTTCACAGGGGCAGAGGAATGACTGTATGCAATAATCTATGCCATTATTTTTATTATCAATTCCTCTTTTTTTATTGATTTTAGAGAGAGGAATGAAAAGAGAAAGAAAGAGGGGGGAAAAATTGATCAGTTGCCTCCCAAACGTGCCCTGACCAGGAACTGAACCTACCACCTTTGGTGAACCAGATAACATTCCCACCAACTAAACCACACTGGCCAGGGCAATCTATGCCATTTTATATAAGAGACTAGAGGATCTGTGGATTTTGGTATCCACAAAGGATCTTGAAACCAACCCCATGGATATTTAGGTGCAACTTAAGTTTTGGGAAAGTCAAAGTTACCCGTGGATTTTGACTATGTAGGTGTCAGCACCCTTAACCTCTGTGTTGTTCAAGGTCAACTGTTTTTATAAAAAGAGCTGAGGACTGGCTGTTCAGAAGGAAGAGACTGAGTCTATTTTCTTCACTGCTACCCGCCCCCCAAGTGTAAAGAACACTGCCCACCACATAGTAGGCATTCCATCAGTGTGTGTTAAATGAGTGACTAAAAGAATTATTTTTGTTTGTATGTTCTTGGTGGAGAAGAGGTGACACGGCCAGAGTGACTGGTGCTGGTGGGAATTTTTGGACAGTGCAAGATCCAACTTGGAAATATGTTACAGGTCTTCTGGAGGAATTTTATTCCTTAAAGAAGAGGGAAAGAAACAATTTTTATTTGGCATCTGTTTGGTGCTAAGGACCTGTTCTATCTCATGGCAGCCCTGTGAGGTGGTTTTATGCCATAGATCAAATGTTTGTGTCCTTCAGAATGCCTATGATGAAGCCTAATCCCCAGTGTAATAGCATTTGGGGGGTGGGGCATTCTGGAAGGGACTAGGCTGTGAATGAGATGGCTGTCTATGAACCAGGAAGAGGATTCTCACCACAAATGCAATCTGCCAGT